GCAAAAACTTTTGTTTAAAATAAATATTTATTCTTATCATGATAGGTGAATATTCTTGCAACTATTTACTCAAAACTAGAGTTGTTTGTGGGCGAACCTGCTGTCGGCCTGAAGGGTGCTTTGAACATTGGAAGGCTAAGAAGTATATTCCCTGCAGGGTTTGTAGCAAGCCAACGAGTTCTGAACCTGGCCTTTGTAGAAAACATGCTAATAGTTATTATATGACCCAGTATATTAATAGGCTTCGAGATAGGGCTATGAGGGCTATGGTACAAGAATTTGGAAATCAGATTGCTTAGAAAAATTTAAACCATCTCCTTACTTATGAGCAACTTATGAATAGATATAGAAACTAGCTTACAAAACTTAATATCTCACTCTGTTAAGAATGTTTTATCCCAATTGGATTAGAAGAAGGAGAACATTGTAATGAATGTATACCCTTATAAATTTTGAGATAGGGCTATGGCTACTAGACAGAAGATTTGACTCACAAAGTAAGGAGGCTTCGCCTCTATGCTAATCTTTTTCGAAAAAATTTACTCTGTCAAGACCTTTAGGAAATAGTCTAACATGATTTTTTTACACCTAGCCTGAAAAAATTTATATATATTCTGAAAAATTTACACCTATTCTATTTTTTTATATCAGGATTTTTATAATCAGAAAGGCGTTCAAAAGCAAGAAAACAAATTAGCGAACTTAAGGTTAACAAGCTTCAGAAAGATAAGAATACAAATTAGCAAACTTAAAGTTAACAAAAGTTTAGATAGATAAGAAAACAAATTAACAATCTCAATAAGAAGAAGGCATTAGAATTCAATCTCCATATATAAAAATTTACACCATGATTATAGAGCTTCTAATCTAATTCTAAAGCCAAGTAAAGTAGCAAAAAATAATATATTTTTTATATATAATAGTAAACCCCATAAGGCCTATGAGGATGATCCAGTAGTATTCTTTTTTATATCTTAAGTCTGCTCGCCCTCCCTGCTGCTACTATTATAATCCATATATAGCTGATAAAAATTATATAACAAATACAATATTTATATATCTTTACTGTAAAGCTTTGCCTAAATGTTAAATTTACTTTTTAACCTTTCTATCAACTCCGGATAGCTTTATTGCCTATCCTAATTCATATTTCAAGCCAGTTGCTGATGTTGTTCGAGAATCCATGTCTTAAGCTATTTGCTACCATAATTAGAGTTCCCAGGCTAAGTCTTATAAAAAAAGTGCTATATTTATCCGTAAACAAACATGTAGTTGCATTCTGCTAATCTATCGGAATTTGGGAAATAAATATTGCTAATCTTTTGAAGAAGTAAGCCAAATCTCCAATTTTTGTTAAAATTTTTTAAAAGACCGATAAAAGAATAAGAGGAAGTAAAAAGATACCACTTGATCAAGTAAAAAGAGTGTAGCTTAAAAAAAATAACAGGATATTTTGCTGTTTCTCAGTGTCTTCAAAAAATACAACCTAAAAGCTTTGTTGATAAAGAAAAAAGAGTATCCAAAAAGTTCTCTTCTCCACCAAGATTTTTTATACAAGGGCACCTCCTGCTAGTTATCTTGTATAATAACACTCTTGACTTGTATGCCAAATATCACCTTTAGAAAAATCCCACTAGCAGTACATTGACTTCTAGACAAACCACTATATTAGGCTATGACTCTCTAACAAAATAGTACATATTACCAAAGATCAAAAATTTTTTGTACACGTGAAGTTACACAACCAAATATGCAAATATGATTTACTCATACAGGAAGATCCCAAAATTCCTGGTCGGAATGCGTCGGAATCCTGGTTGGCAGGGCCGAAAATAATAGAACCTACTAACCACTAGGGCTAAATGCTGACTTAAATCCGACCAGGAATTTTGGGGATTGCTTTGTAAAAATCAATATGATTGTGAATTTTATCGCACAGTATAAGAAATACATAATATGTTTTAAATTGCAAAAAATTGCGAAAAAATGTTTTCTAATCTTTTCGAAATTTTTACGGGTCCCTGATCCGGATATATGTATTAACTCTAATCGAGAATCTGCCGGTCCGCAGCAGCTATGTTTCTATTTATCTAAAACTTTATGCTTTTTGAGCCTCAATATTAGGCTATTAGCAAAAATGTGGCATCAGTAAAGTCCCCCGGGAATGGAATTATATGAGATTAAATTCGCTAACTGCTAGTACTATAGTAAAGCGAAAGACCAACGTATTCTGAAAATTATTTATGCTTAGCGATTACGTTTTCATAAATTGTATTTAATTAGCCAATCAAAAGGACTTTCCATCACGGTCTAACTATAGACTTCATATGTTAAACCTGATTGAAACCGTTTTAACGTACGAAAATGAACCGGCTTCAAACTCTACATTGGGATATGCTAGAAACAATAAAATGCGAGCTGTACTCCAACGAGTCCTGAACGCTAGCGTTACAAGTAACATTGTTTCTTATTTTTTAATGAATCTGTACTAAACTCATTATGGGGTTCTAACATTTGAGTTAGTAAATAACGTCCAGGTCTCATCGATCAATCGAGGGCTTTGCGTTCTTGTTGGCATCGCAGCCGATGATACTGAAGCTGATTTAGAGTACCTTATAAAAAAAATTCTTAATGTTCGGGTGTTTGAAGATGAAACTGGAAAAAAGATGTGGGCAAGAAATGTTAAAGACATGGGGTTAGAAATTTTATGCGGTTAGTAGTAGTGTATAAGTACATTATGTAAATTAAATTTGTCGATTTGTTCAATAACAGTTTAATATATCAAAGTTTCCCAATTCACTTTATACGGGGATGTAACGAAAGGCATGATAATTTTAAATATTCCTGCATTTCAGCATTTGGGCTTGAACTAAACTTAAGCTCTACAATTACGTATCATTTTAGGAAACAAGCCTGATTTTCATTGTTCTATGAAAGCAGAATTTTCGAAGGAGATGTATGCGAATTTTATAAGTAGAATGAAACAGGAGTATTTTGAAGATAGAATAAAAGGTATCATAATTTTGTAAACATAGTGTTTACAGTGATTTCAAATGTCAGTAAAATTAACAAAATAAATTTTATTTTTGATTGTTAATACCCATTTATGAAGATGGAGTTTTTGGTGCCATGATGAATGTTTCTCTTGTAAATGAGGTAAATTATTTCATTAGCTTACAATTGAAGGTGGCGAATAATTTCAACATTATCGGTGAAATTGATGTTGAATTGAATTTGATGAATTTCACCAGTATCTCTACTTACAATAATTTGAATGAGTAGGAAACGCTGAGTAAAAATGTTTTCATTTAAATTTAATAGGGACCAGTTACATTAGAACTGGATTCGCGTAAATTCGCCTACACTGAAAAAAAAGTATCTTCGTCAAAGTCTAAAGTAGAGATATCAAAGAAATAATTACTTCTAATAAACTGTATAAACCTACGCAATCAAAACAGCAAATGCCTAATACTTTATTTCTGGAACTCTCCTGCCATAAAAAGTTTTCCAAGAGTTGGCCCAGAATATTGATTCAATTGTTTACAATAATTGTTAATCTGAGAAGTAATTAATAAAGAATCTAATCTTGATGGTTCGGGTGGAAATTTAAACATTTTTGCAATATCTTCTTCCGGAAGAGGATCCTGTCCAGAAGCGAGACGATGTGAATTTTCTTGTTTCTTTTTTAAAATGATCGAAGTTATTATTATATTCATGACAAATAATATGTTGTTAAAATGTAAAATTGTTAAAATACATACTCTCTTTTGCAAAGTAGCCTGCATCTTAGCTTGTTCTCTAACAACACTCCTTTGCCAAAACGCGAAGTTACTTTGTTCTTGACTATGCTCTTCCACCGCCTCTAATAAGAACTCTAAATTTTTTTCAATATATGGATCGAGACTTAATTCCAGAGTGTCAAAATTTGGAGTTAAAGGGCCAACTACAGTTTCTTTATCTAATGAAGAAGCTTTTGGGATAACATGTTCGTAATCATCCAATGAATGAAGAAGCGCGGTCACCAAGTGGGAATTTTTAATCGTAATTGGAAGCTCTTCAAAAATAGTGGAAAAAGTAAGTTTGTTCTTTATGAGTGATTCAGTGGTAAACTTTCCCTCTTTCTGTGCTTCCATAAATGCTCGAGTGAATCTAAAAGCGCGGAGAGATAGATTTCCATGAGTTGATCGGGAAACATCTAATATATGCACGAAATTGTTATTATAATTCTTTAATGGAAATTTCAAATGTGATTAACGCTATACCGTGAACAATGACTACGCTCTTGTTATTAAATGTTTGTTGATAATTATATTGAGTCTCAATCAGTTTATGCGTTACGAAAGACCCTAGATATGTAGATTGGTACCACCCAACAGTATTATGATCCACGTTGACATCGCGGAGACATCGCATCATATCTACTTGATATCGAGCACCTGTAAACAAAGCAGCGAATACAGTGTGAATTATGTTTCAATTATAATTTTTTTTTTTTAACAATTGGGAAGTGGCCTTAGATCATTCTCAAACGAACCATCTACTATCTCATTTTCATCGTCGGGCTTTGAGCCCGGGAAAGGGAAACAATTAGTCACTTCAAGGATACCATTCACATCAAGGCCAAGGAGTTGACCGGTAACCGGGCTAGGGAAAAATTCTCGACAATGCTTAATTATTTTTAAAACTACCTGAACAAATTAGGAATATTTAGTAAGAACTTTACTCGGATCAATAAAATTTATGATTTCAATAAATTACCAGTCCGTCGAGTTGAACGCTCTCCAGTGGAACGTTACCTTCAACGTCCAGAGCTGCAGTTACATTAACGTTTGAAAGTCCATCCTTAGTAGTCGTGGAACCGTTCGAAGTCATCTTTTTGTAATGTCACTTTTTTTTTAAAAAAAAAGCATACTTGAAGTTTCTTTTTATTGGTTAGTGTACTGTACATATCCATTCACATGATATTAATATCTATTTCATGTTAAACGGTTTTGTAAAACCTCTGATACAGTTAATAGATAGCCAATAAAAAACCCCAACCAAAATTGGATAAAATGATGTATATGAACGATAGTTTTTCTTTGTGTAGTTCTCGTACGTAAAATAATGAATTCAAAGAAACCTTCAAAGCCATTTGCCTTCGGATTTGTGCATGGTTCAGCAAGTAAACCCAAATCATTGCTTGATCCAGAAGAACAAACTCATAAAAAGCCAACGACATTGGACTATTTTTCTGAAGAAGATTCCCAACCAAAAAAACGAAAACTTATAAAATTAGAGGATGACTTAGATGAGGGCTTTGATAAACAAGATAAATTATCCAATGTTAACGAAGACTACGTTGGCGATCTAGAAGATGATAGACCTCCGCCTCCTCGAACTTCAACTGGTTAGTACGTTTTATACTTGCACCTTTAAGGTCCGTAAATAACTGTTGCGTACAACATATTAGGAATTCAAGGATTTGTGCCTCAGGGCTTTAGTTTCAACAAGGGCTTTACCAATGTTCATGAGGTTACATCCGATACTAAATTGGATGATGTACAAAAAGATGATGAAATTGACGATCCTCTTGATGCTTTCATGCTTGATATTGATAATCAAGTTCAAAAGGAAAGTCAGAATAAGTCTTTGCAAGAAAAAGTATGGAGTTTCATTATGATGTTAACGCTGGTAATAGTTGAAATATTCATATCATTATTAACTTAGATTCGTAGAGATGATATTGAAGATGAAGATTTTGTTGAAAGTTACGTCAATCATATGAAGAAAAAAGGAATTGAAGTGGGTAAAAGTCAACGACCAATTGAAAAGGATGAGGTAATTTCAATAATATTCGTGTTTTAGTTTGTTTTATAGATATTTGATGTACGTCAAATGTAGAACGTGAATTCGGATGAAGAAGTGTATGCTACTGCCAGGGCTATTGATGCTCAACTTGAGTATGAAATCCATATATACCTATTATCTATTTAATTTGGCCTAATTGTACTAACAACAGAATACGTGACTATAGATACGATTCCGATGATAATCCAATCGTGGAACAAAAGCGCAAAGACATCGAACCACTTCCAGCAGTTGGTAAATATTTGTTTTGTAGTAGCTATTATTCTTCATGTCAACATTTTATATATGAATAATGATCAAACTATTATGAAATAGATCATTCTCAAATTGAATATCCAGAAATTGAGAAATTCTTTTATGAAGAGCATCTAGATATTGCCGGATTATCTGATGAGCGTGTCAAGGAAATACGTCGAGAACTTGGTGATTTTTGATTTTAGAATGCGATATTAAATTTAAAGATATAATCAAGCATTTATTGTTTTCTTTTCATTCTCCACATAGACATGCATGTTTCTGGCGCTGATGTTGCGAAACCTTGTATTTCCTTTGCACATTTTGGGTTTGACGAAGCTTTACTGAATGTTATTATTAAACATGGATATTCAGAACCAACTGGAATTCAGAAGCAGGTACTATTACAATATAACACTTTTTTTTTTTTTTTTTCTCCTGATCTTTAAATATTTTTTCTCTAATAGGCGGTACCTGTTGCAATGTCCGGTAGAGATATTATTGGTATTGCGAAAACAGGTAGGCATTATTATGATTAGCTACAGATTTTTATGAATTTAATTAACCCAATACCTTTATAATTATAAGGGTCCGGTAAAACTGCCGCTTTTATTTGGCCCATGTTGATACATATCATGGATCAAGAAGAATTACAAAAAGGTTGGGCGTAATTTCACATTAATATATGTCGTTTTTATGTTTTTTTTTTTTTTTTTTAGAATCTCAAATATATATGAACATTTGTACTTGTTTAAAACAGGTGAAGGGCCAATTGGTTTAATACTAGCACCGACGAGGGAATTGGCTAGCCAGATATACACTGAAGCCAAAAAATTTGCAAAGAGTTACGGTCTGAGGTAGAAATCAAAAATATAAATTTAGTCCCATATTGGTAGAAATGGAATCAAAAACGACGCACACACTACTCTCTCTGCTCCTTCCCAAATACTTGCTTTACCCAAATGCAGAGTTGCAGCAGTTTATGGAGGTGCTTCGAAAATGGATCAATTCAAAGAACTCCGGCCCGGTGGAATAGAGATACTAGTGGGTACGCCGGTAAGTAAAAACAAATATGTTCTTTATTGCCTACGTTAGCGAACAGATTCTAATATATATTGTTCATATTTTAAAATTAGGGAAGACTTATTGATATGGTCAAAATGAAAGCGACGAATTTTCGACGAGTTAGCTTCTTGGTTCTTGATGAAGCAGACAGGATGTTTGACCTCGGTTTTGGTGTGTAAATACAATTTTTAATTACTTTTAAATCCTAAGAGAAAATAGTGTGATTCATTGTAACATATATATTTCACTGTCTTAAGAGCCGCAAGTCCGTTCCATCTGTGACAATATTAGACCAGATAGGCAAAGTATGGTTCAAAATTCGTTTGTTAATTTGACCTTTATATAAGAATATTCTCATCGCCGAATATCATATAGCGTTATTGTTTAGTGCGACATTCCCCAAAAAAGTTGAGATTCTAGCTCGTGAAGTAACTACGGAACCAGTAAGGATTTCCATTGGTAGCGTTGGCCAGGTATATCTCGTATTTTTGTATCCTAATAATAATTTAATAATTAAATAATTCTAACTATATGGATAAATTCTTAGGCGAATACTGATATTACGCAAAGGATAGAAATTTTGGCTGATGACGGTTATAAGTGGGATTGGTTAATGAACCATTTAGTGTCATTCTGTGTTGGTAAGCTTCACTTTACGCATTAATATGTTGAATTTCTAAGCTAATATTTAATTTTCTATTTTCAAGAGGGTAGTGTTCTCATCTTTGTTAGTCGTAAAGATGGTGTTGAAGCGTTGTCAAACAATTTAAAGCAAGTCAATTATGAGTGTAGGTTTAAGTTTTTGTTTTCAAAGTACCTTTATTTTGATGATAATCATATTTTTAAAACATGTACAGGTGGTGCGCTGCATGGTGACATGATGCAAGCAGATCGTGACAAAGTATTGAAAGATTTTAAAAATAATAAATTTCCAATCATGGTTGCGACTGATGTAGCTGGTGCGTGTAACTGAAAAGATTTTCTTATAGTTTTATTCTTTTTATTGAAATGTGATAAACAATTTAGCAAGAGGACTTGATATAAAGGCCGTCAAAACCGTCGTCAATTATGACATTGCACGTGATATCGATTCACATGTTCATCGGATTGGAAGAACAGGCCGAGCGGGTAAGACATATATAATAATAAATTTATTTGATTTAGATCGAAATAATAAACTATGTCCCGTTAAATTTATTACCTTTTCCAGGAGAGAAAGGTACTGCTTATACGCTTATCACCCAAAAGGAAGATAAATTTGCTGGAGACCTAGTGAGAAATTTAGAAGCTTCGGGTCAACAAGTCCCTGATGCTTTGATGAACTTGGCGATGCAGGTAATTATTAATTGTATTTGTTTTATAATTTGTGATATGTAGGAGATGGTTTTTTTTTTTTATTGACTTTATTTTATTTAGAACTCGAGATTCAGAAAATCACGAAATATGATACGTAGAGGGCGTGGTAGATCTGGTGGACGAGGTCGCGGTTACGGAAGGGGTCGTGGTAAGGGTTAGTATTTTTTATTTATTTTTTTATTTATTGTAGACTTTGAGCAAGGGCTGTTTACAATAACAATATCGTGTAGGTCGTGGAACAAATATTTCTAATTCGAACTCAATACCACTTGGAGGAAGAGCTGGCATTGGAAGCGCGGGTGTACAAATACCTCCACCTCCACAGCTTAATACTGATACCTCTGGCCATGCCGGTGGAAAGCACCCAATGAATTTCCAGAAAGCCTCAACAGCAGATGCCGAGTTAGGACTTTTACGTTCAAGTAAATCATCAACCTCTTCGCAATCAGGAAATCAAAAAAAACGACGCTGGGATTCTTAATAAATCCGGGTTGAGAACACAGGATTAGGGATTATGCAAGTTACTTATTGTTATTTATAACGATTTTACCTTTTTTTTTGGATATTCATTGTATGCTATATAGTGTAAAATATTATTAAACTTGTGAGGATCATTTTTACAGTGTTTATCAATGAATAGTCTGAATATCACATTTTACTGTGTTTACGTATCATTTACATTACTATTTACTCAGTTGCACTTTCTTTAAATAAAGAACATTCATCAATGATTAAATAAATGCACATGGAGAATTACTTGCCAATTGATATATTCTTACTAAATATTTATCTCAAAAAAAAAAAAAAAATCTGGGTAATCTGCTTCAGAAATCCTACAAACCTTAAATTAAATACCGATGAAATTTTAAAATTTTTATTTAAACACCATAGGTGTATTTTATAGTAAACCCGTTTTCCTAAAAATCACAGTATTCAATAGTATTACTAATAGTTAACTACCGACCACCAAATCAATTATAATAGTGAATTAAATAAAATTATCTGCAGTAACATGGTGGCTAAATTACATCAAGGGAAACCCAGACTTGGAGTTGATATTTATTGGTTGACAAGAACAACCTTTTTCATAAACTTTTGCAAACTAAACACATGATTTTAAATTGAAACCAGTAAGTTATAAGCTTAAAAACCCAAAATCTATTAATGAACCTAGGTGCCGCGCGGCACCTAGGTTCAATATGACATATGTTGCTGCGGCATAATATCCCAACGTTAAATAAAGAAATTATCTTGCGATCTAGTTCTTTCTCACTAAGACAAACCGAATGGTATAAAAATCATCGGGTTCTGGCCATTATCCATACTTCATTTTATACATACTATATATATACTGTATTGTCGCGAAATAACGGGCATGGGCGTTATTTAGAAAATCGTCTCTCTAAAAATGGCATGCATTGTTTCAAAATAACGCCCATGCGCGTCCCAAAAATGACGCGCACCCTATATTAGGGTTTCAACAAGTAATTAGATATAACAGGTATGTTTATGATTTGTAAATTCTATTATTAACATCAATTTTTTTCTTTTTTCATCAGAAGATTAATTGCCCTCGACTTGTATGAATGGAATAATTTTTGATGCCTCCGATTACATTGAGACTGAGATTTCAATTTTCTTTTACTATGACTAATAATACTCTTTGATATATGGACCAGTATTTTTGATTATGAGCTCTGGGAAATGGAGCAAGCACACTGAGATAAGTATCTATGATTCACCGTGACCATTTTTCCGTGTGTACCATAAGTCTTTAGTAATCTGCCTCTTCTTCCAGATTCATATTTTCTTACACAGGCATGAGAAAGCCAAAGAAATATGGATCGCTTCGTCGCCATGATTACGTCACGAAATCGGTGAATAATTTCGTTACAATCGCTGGAGCAAAGTCATTGTGCTGTTATCATTTCATAATTTAGTAATTAGGACAAGATCACGGGGGATTAGTGAATAATATTTTGATCCGTATGTGAATAAGCGGAAATTTCATTTCCGCTAATCCCAATATTATTATTACTAATATTTATCATAGGTTCGAATCGCATCTTGTAATCTTTCGGACAACTTTTATATAGTATTCTAATATCTCATAATAATCTAGTTGTCTATTCTTTTAAATAACAAATATTCTTACTATATAAATTATTTAGCAGGCTTGTCTAGTTCTTTATCAAAGTTGATTAGTAATTCTTTTTTTAAGTTTTCAAGATCAGATAATTAAAATTTTTTTTTTTAAAAAAAAACAAACTTTTTTTTAAAGAGAATTAATAATCAAATTTAATCATCAGAATTAAAAAAATACTAAATAAACTTTTTACTAAATTGTAAAAAGAACTTTATATATAAGAATGTTTTATTTAAAAAATTCAGTGTAATATTGTCGAAGCTGGGGAGATTCCAAAAATCTACCATTTTCTCTAGTATATTATTTATTTGAATCCCTCTCTAAACTTGTATAACCTGTATACAACCTTCTATTACTTATTTTGTCATTTGGTATCCTATCTTTTATTAAGAATGAAACAATATTTTATAATTACTATATTGATTAACAATAATGATCTATATCTAACCAATACAATTATTTATATATATAGATATATAACTAATATATTTTTGTAAGATATTATAAAAAAGAAGTAATTTGATAAATTGAAATTTCTTATAATCTAGTGATTATTGAGTATTCATATCATACGAGCCATAATTAGTTGCTAGGGCGTTTTCGTCGTATTCGCTTATATTTCCTTGCGGGTAGTAATATCTTTGTTGTTGTTGCCACTGCCAATATTGTTGTTGCTGTTGTTGAACTCCGTGCAGGCGTTCCATGTAGTTCACATACAATTTATCCACCATTTCTTGGTAACCTTTCCGTCGATTATACCAATATTCGTTGAGTGCGCTACGCTTCTCCCCACTAGTTGATTGAGTTAAGCTAGTTCGTCCAGAGGTCACTCTCATAACGTCAAAGCCGAAACCAATAATCATTTGGACTGTATTGACACAGCCGATAACCATCAAAAGGGAATTCCATATAAAGAACCTAAAAAAAAATTAAAATTATTTTAGCGAAGAAATAAGGCATATTGAAGAGTATCGAAAACAAATAGAAGCAAAAAATATACATCATAATTAGGTGGGCGGAAAACGCTAGCCATCGGTTTGTAGCAAGCGTCAAAAGAGCGATAATATGAAATGTCTTGCGGAAAAGACCCGAAATAAAACCAAGAATAGACATAGTGTTTTTAAAAGAAAGCAGTTGTAGACGTGTTTATTTTCTTTTACAAAGGAAACATTAAAGATTTAACGAGTGATAGATTCAAGGGTGTGAATCTTTTTAAGGCGGAATTTTTCCTAATTGATAATTACGCCTGAGCAGGGCCCGAAATAAGTTACCAAACATTTGCCTTCATGATTCAAATATCAAATTAGGAAACTGTAGTTATCACACACAGCTCTAGACATGTGCAATTCATAATTACGAATCTATATTGACGGATAGTTTGTCAAGATACGCAATATGTAGATCAAGTATTCTTTTAACCTTATTGCGTTGAAGTTTACATGTTAACTGTCCAACGAACACCGAATTTTAAAAATGTACAGGTACATTTAAAAAATTAAATTTAATTAATAACGATAACTTTAAAGCAGGTTATTATTATATTAAAAATTTTGCTGTTTGTATTATCCAGATTGTCCAAATTATGTAACTATTTATTCTATTTATTGCTTTAAAAAATAGGCAATTTTCTTTTATACGTATATTGTGTATGTATAACATAAAAAATATATAAATAATATATATTATATAATGTAAATGAGGGTATTTTGACGAAGTTAACACTTCTTACTAATAAAAGTCTGCCAAAAACTTAGTTTTATTTTTCTGTTTTTGAACTATGTAAATTTGAATCTGCTTTACAATATAGAAAAATAAAAACTCATGTTTTATATAAATTATATTATGATCTCTATGTAACAACAATTTTTAACTTCCCTGTGGGTATTTTGACGAATGTGGCGATCATTAATATTTGGTAAATGTGATATTTTTTGACGAATTAAACATATTACAAGGATACAGGTTTTTTTTTCAAGTAAACCTGACTTTACTTATTAAGTAAAGTTGCTCAAAATACTATCTTTTACTTTTTTCTAATAGCTTTTTTCGTCATACGTTTTGGTGCAGTAAATTAATTTTTTGTATTAGAATGTATAACGAAAAACCTTATTAATAAAAGGTTATTCAAATTGCACCAAAATTTAAGAGTAAATAAAGGATGGTATGTTGAACAACTTTACTTAGTAAGAAATGATAGGTTTACTTTAAAAAAAAACCTGTTTCCTTGTAATATGTTTAATTCATCAAAATACCCACATTTGTTATAATACTATCACTTACCGTATGGGTCTTATGTAACAACCCGTGCTTTTTTCAAAAGCTTATTCGTATGGGTATATATGAAAATCACATGATTTTCATATATACCTATATGAATATATTATTTTTTAAAATTTCACAATATTTGGGCCAAAATAATTATTATATTAGGCGATTTTAAACTTCTGTTGGGCATTAAATTAGATAATTATTAAATTCTTTAATTGTTGGACAAAGTATTTAATATTAGGCCAAGCAATTTTAAAATTCTCAAACAATTAGGTAAAAATTATGTTAGATTAGATGGTTTTTAAAATTCTAAATTGTTGAATGAAAAATCAATAATAAGTTGGATGATATTTAAAATTCTAAATTCTTGGGCAAATAATTAATAGTAAAGTTGGGCAATTTTTACATCCAAATCATTGGGCGAAGATTCAATAGTAAGCTAGACAATCTTTAAAATTCTAAAACATTAATAAAGAGTTAATTGTAGATTGAGCAATTTTTAAAATTCTAACTTGTTGAACGAAAGATTAATAATAGACTGGGCAATTTTTAAAATACTAAACCATTAGTTGAAGAATCAACAATAGGTTGAGTAATTTTAAAACTCTCAATTGTTAGAATATGAATTTATATGAGATCAGATGATTTTTAAAATTCTCATGTTAGACAAAGAATTAATAGTAGATTTGATGATTTTTTTTCACAAATACTAGGATTTATTTGTTTAATAAAATTACATATTAATTATTAAAAAAGAAAAAAACACTTAAAATTAAACAATAATACTATTTATTATTGGCTGCTTTTCTTGTGCTACTTAGAATTAATTTGTTTGCTCATTATCCTTTGCTTGTAGCATTCCTTGAAGTTGGTGAAAAGTTTGTATCTTTTTTTATTTACAATGTTTCTTGCAATATTTCTTGGGTTTAAAGATACCTTTTTTTCTAAAATCAATACATGATATAGGTTTTTTTCATATTTGCACAAATCGTCAACTATAAAGTTGTTATTAAATATTTCAAAAAAAAAAAAAAAAAGAAAGTTGGGATTAGTAAGGGGGAAGATAG